ATGGTTTTCAAGGCTTTAAGAAGTCCATCTTCATATCCCCACAGCAGCTCTCCCACTGAACGAGTGGTAAAAAGGCCTTGCCCGGTGCCCTTCATCTTCCTTCAGATCACTAAATGCAACAAGGAAATAACCTTGAATCTTTCCATCACTGTGTACTAGGACAAAAAAAAAAAAAAAAAAAAAAAAAAACGGGAGAAGAACGCCGTTACAGGATTATTAGTTTGAATAAACATAAAGCATACAGCAGGCCATGTAAGTTAATATTGAGGTATAATATATATTTATATATTAAGAAAACAACTTCCTTATTTAATCTTGCTGATTGACTGAGGTTTTGCAGACATGTGAACAAAAACCACATGCCCATGTGCCCATTAACCATGTTATGTGAACTTCTCCACAATTGTGGGCAAGTGACAATCATGGTGACAATGTAGGATCAAGTGACTAAGCTCCCAGTCACACAGACCTAGATATTGACCCTCTGGCAACCACCACTTGCTAGGGAAAAACATCTCATCTCCAAGCAAAAACCTCCATTTGACTGCTATCCATCAATCCTCTTCTGCCTACCCAATTAAGGGTCACCAGGTGGATGGAGCCTATCCCGCTGCCATAGGGCGAGAGGTGGGGTACACCCTGGACAGGTCGCCAATATGTTGCAGGGCTAACACAGAAAGACAGAACCATTCGCACTCATATTCACACCCGTGGGCCATTTGGAATCATCATTTAACCTCCATTTAGAGTCTGAATGGAAGTGATAGACTTGTCAACAAATACTACCCAACTACTCTCCAAACTGTAGTGAAACCGTAGAAAGTGCAGCACAAACCAGAAATCTACCCTCTTTGAAACATGTTGACTGTAGCGCTGAGGCAAAACATTACTTTGAAAACAAACCTTATCCATATAGGAAATGCTCCACAGGAAATGCTATAGGCACTGGGCAACCTACTAGCAACCAGAGCAAGACCCCTAAGAGGTCTTTTCTGCAGCACTTTCTTTGCAACCAACAACCAGCAACTCCTGTGAACCACTCAACAACCAGTTGAGGAATATACATGAGCAATGCCCACATGTGAGAAACCTTAATATTCGTCCTAATGTGAGAAAACTATAATACTGTGAGTGGCAGATCAGATCCGTGCTGTAGACTATTGCTCACCATGGCAGGGATATTAACTGTCCTGATGAGGTCACTCTCTGGACCTCGGGACATGTTACGCTGAAAAATGTAGGTTTTAGTGTTGACAGCTGTTACTTTAGTGCCATTATCCTGAAAGTCAATTTGCTCCATAGGCCGGTACTCTCTGTGGAGGAAAAGCAAAACATTTTTAGACAAGAGAAAAGATTCTTTGTTACAGAGCTGCAGCCAAATATAACAACTAGCTTTGTTTGTGATTTTAAAAAAAAGCTATAGCGTAACTCCCTACTTTGCATCTGCACTCTTTAACACGCCATGTTATATAGCACAATACATGAAAAAAGTGTGGGGATATTAAGACATGCAGTTCTTCACATGACTGATAATGTCACATTTACTCTACATGAAAAGTGGGTTGAAGATTGTTCGTCTATTGTGGCTCAATTTCCCTTGACACACATCTGTGCAGTTTGTGACTGTGTTTGTGACATGTGACTGTGATGCAATTATTGGAAAAAAAAGAAGAAGCTTTTTTTTTTTTTAAACCATAAAACGTGTCAATGGTGAGTTGTTTCTTAATAACTCAATAACAATTTCCTAAAACTGCTTTATTTTAACTGATTTGGTGACCCAGATAACGTATGTAAGTATTTACGTTAGTTTTCAGTGCTACTGAAAACAAGTCAGTGCCAAAAGAGATAAGATGGTTATCAGCTGTGTGCAGCGATATATTATACTATCACTGGGTATATGGATAATATGAATCAAATAAACTTTCTTTTCACCTTACACGTAGATCTAGTTCAAAGTGCTTTACAGGTAAAAAAAAAAAAAGGCAAATTAAAATTGGCATATATTAAAAGAAAATTAAACAGAATAAACTTTAGAACATGTACACACCAAGTGAACAAAATAAGGCCAATAAAAATTCATTTTAAAAACATAATGCTACATAAAACAGGAAAACCAAACTGTCAAATGATTAAACCAATAAATTAACCTATCAGCGAATAAAAATAAAAAGATCTGAAAAGGGAAAACAATGAAATAACATCAAGTCAAACAGTAAGTTAAAAATGTAAAACAAAGTAAGTAATATATGTAAAGCACGTTTAATCAAAAGCCAGTTTTATGAACGTCGAGATCCTGTGGGTGTGGACTGGGTAGAAAATAAACTGCACATTGACCTTTCATGGCACAATAACACTGAATGAACACAATAAAAAAAAACAATAAAATGTGCTTTCGGAAAAATAAACATCTCCGTGTCACAGTTCGTAAGTCTCAGCACCAAAACTAGTACAAAAATGCTGTCTCTCAGGTGCTTACAGGTATCCAAGCACAGGATTGCTCTGCATCTCTTTAAATTTATCTCTAACAACATTCACATGTTTTTTTCTTAAACACACTATAGACCAGGGGTGGGGAACTCCAGGCCTCAAGGGCCAGTGTCCTGCAGGTTTTAGATATCACCCTGGATCAGCACACCTGAATCAAATAATTAGTTCCTTACCAGGCCTCTGGAGACATGTGTCCAGAGACTTCAAGACATGTTGGGAGGTAATTTAGCCATTTAACGTATTTCCCGGACTACAGAGCGCACCTGAATATTAGCCGCACAAGCTAAAATCAGGGGAAAATCCTGTTTTGTACATACATTAGCCGCACCTGACTAAAAGCCGCAGGTGTTTCAATGTTGACTTATCATATGTAAGAGAATTGTCAGGAAAGAGATGGCTGTTTGGAGACACACCCCTTTTATTAATATTTTGAAAAACAAGTTATGGGTACATATTTGCATAACTTTTTAGGTATATGTACAAGTAGCGGTAATTATAAGTACGAAACATGTACTGTGCTTCATAAATGAGTAACAAATGTAGTACATAGCAATAACCTGCAGCACACCAGAAAAATAGATTCGGACTACCTTTTAGGCTCAGGTGCAGCGACACAGCTTTAACAAGAAGAAAAGTCAGTCATTCACCACCATCTTTCTCTTCTTCCTGCGCACTAAAACCACCAAAGTCCTCTTCTCCAGTGTCGGAAATGAACAGGTTCAGGATGGCTTCGTCATCCACTCTCAGCTTCTTTCCTTCGTTGTCACTTACAAAACCAACCAAACAAATCCTCGTTGTCAGTGTCAGAGTCGAACACCCTCAGAAGGGCCGTGGCGGTGTCCTCCTCTCCATCATGCAGCAGTCCAGCCCTTTGAAATCCGTTGGTGATCGTGGATGTTTTCACACTTTTCCACGCTGTCAGAATCCACTGGTGGAGTTGAGCATAACTTGCTTTTCGCAAGTTTATCGCCGCTCGTCATCCACGACTCCCGCTGAACACATAGCGCTACTTTGAAGTTTGTTTTTCGCGCTACTTGTACAGCACTATGTTGCCTGGCGGATGGTGACCAACATACCACTCTTGAACCCCGATACTGTGTGTCTGATCACATGCCCTTCCACCAGGCAACGTAGTGCCGTACAACAGCGGAACAAACAAAACAAATCGTCTTACGATATGACAAAAATCATGGACAATCCATAGAAAAGCCGCACCTGACTAAAAGCCGCAGGGTTCAAAGCTGGTGCAAAAAGTAGCGGCTTATAGCCCGACAATTACGGTAAATCAGCTGTGTTGGATCAAGGACACTGTGCGACGACAGTGTCCTGTGAGAGCTAAGCAAACCCTGGGATTCAAAAGCTTGAGCAGAAATGACTTGATGTAACAATTTTCTGTATTGACTTTATCACTTCGTCATATTGTTGTCGAGGAATTTTGGCCTGCTCTTTTCACAGCATTGTTTCCATTCATTGAGATTTACAGGCACAGCTCTCTTAAGGCCCTGAAACAGCATTTCAGTCAGGTCGATGTCTGGACTTTGACTGGGTCATTGCAACACTTTGATCATTTTCTGTTTTCAGCCATTCTGTTGTAGATTTGCTGCTGTGGTGGAGATCATTGTCCTGCTGCACGACCCAGTTTCAGCTGAAGCTAACTGTCAGACAGATGGCCTCACATTTGGCTCTAAAATACTTTGGTATACAGAGCAGTTCATGATCTAATCAATGACTGCAAAACAAGAACAAATCATCACTCCTCCAAAACTGGCTGAAAATTTGTATGAGGCGTTTGTGCTGATACAATGTGTTGGGCTTTCTCCTAAAAGTAGGGCTGTGCATTGTGGCCAATCATCTCTTTGGTCCATCTGAAAAAAGCACAGTGTTCAAGAAATCTTGTGGTTTGCTCAGATGCAACTTTGCAAACGTAAGCTGTGCCGTCTTGTTCTTTTTTTTTTTTAGAGTGAAGAGACTTCTGCCTGGAAATCCTGCTGAACAAGCCACGCTTGTTCAGTCTTTTTCCAACTGTCATGAAGTGTAATATTTAGAGAAATCTTGTGGTTTGCTCAGATGCAACTTTGCAAATGTAAGCTGTGCCGTCTTGTTTTTTTTTTTTTT